GAGGAGAAAAAAGGGAGGATGGGGCCGTTCCGGCCCACAGTGTTTATACAGGTGGGGATTTGGATCTGCACATGGTGCCGAAGGGCATGGGGTTGCCGAATGTCAACAGATACACTTAGTGGGCTTTCACCGTGGCTGCACTCCAACATGGGACTATGGCTTGCCTTGACGAGCTCGTAGAGGACAGTTCTTCCTCTCTTCCTTTCCACTATTAGACTAGATATAATTGTAATAGCGTTTGTCCTCATGCGCGGCTTTCTCTGTGGGTTTGTGGATACGCCGCGGGATACGACTACACCTCTGCCAAAATTCAATTTAATCTTTCTAGAGTGGGCATTGTTTGGAAAACCCTTTTAGCAGATGTGGGGATCCCACGCAGTGTGGTAGTGTCAATGGTGGCATACCTTGCTTCTTCTCGCTATTGATACACCTGTGATATGTGGAATCCTCAAGTCCGTACGGCGGGGCTAACCGAATCTTGTTTAGCTTCAGTAAGATCGCATCATGGTGTGATACAGATACATCTGCATCCCATGGCGTATCTGTAAACAACAGAACAAACTATACATGAGGGCGAGGTATTCCAAATTCAATTTCCAAACGAATGATAAAGCAGAAATATCGTCGATGTTCGCGTTGGTACTATACTCTTAACACCTGTGCCGCCACCGCCGCTCTACCCGCTGTCACTGTTCAGCAGATCCAGCACTCATATTGACCATGGCTCTCATTCCTCAACGCTCCTGTCTAATCAGCCACGAAATAAAAATAATCGAAGCTGCCACTGCCCTCAGCATCGGTAGTCAATGCACATAGGTGGTATTACACGTGACCTGATTTTCGTCAATGCTCTCTAATTTGCACCTGACCAGCATTAATTTTTCCATTCCTTCATTTCTGTCAAACTCTCCCCGTTTAAACCCCGGACATGTGAAAATGTCTCTTCAATCCGTCACCGAAGAAACTCCCCGACGCTTTATTCACTTTCCTCTCCTTCCCAGCTTTTTCTCCACCAACAGTCGATTCCGTCAGTATTTTATTGTAATTTTATTTACACTTGAGCTACTATATCCTCCATTACTCTACTCTGTACTAATGGCGAACAGCATGAAGCAGCAGTCCCTGCCAGCCATTCTGAGACCAGGGCAGTAGTTGCGCTGGCAGGGTCATTACTGCTTCCTATTCCGTTCCTCACCACGCTCAATCGGTGTAAGTTTTCGTGGCTACGCTTTGACCATTGGAGGGTGCAGAGTGACTATGTTCTATGCCGCTAACATCACACCCATTGTTTTTATCCGCTTTTTTGTAGATTCGCTGCAGTATCCTCTGGATCGACTGCACTACGTATTGTTTCAATGCCTGTTTTTCTCGGTGCTGCCGTTCATTATTCGGATTGTTGGCGAGCAGCCGGATTTCACGCAAAAGTTCCAGGTCGCAAACAAGCCAAAAAAGGCAGAGGAAAAGGCTACCACTGACGCAGCAATAGTCACTGTGCCAAAGACCCGTGCTGGTGGAAAGTCGCACCCATATATTGCAAAGTGCGCCAAGCTCGAAAAGACGTTCATGGACATGGCCAGGCAAGGCGAGTCCGGCGGCGACAGCCCGTGGGAGACGCTTGCGTCACAAGGCGCGCCGTACCACATCACGGTGCAGGGCCACCGGGACCGGCCCTTCTGCTTCCGCATCACCTTCTTCTCACCCACGCTGCCCGGCACTGCCTTCGACCTGCTCTCGGACGTCCTGCGGCGTCCCGACTGGGATGAGATGACTGAGGCAACGCGGATTGTCGAGAAGCTGAATGGGGCCGACAGCATCCACTATCTGAAGATGAAGGGCGTGTGGCCGACGGCCGCGCGCGACTCGCTGCTGGTGGCTCATCTGGCGTCAATTCCGGTGGGTGCTGGCGAGAAGCCCGAGTTTGGCTACCTGAATGCCACACAAAGTATTGTGGATGACCGTGTCCCAGAGCGCACGGCCGACGGGATTGTGCGCATGGAGGCAGCGATTGCCGGCCAGCTGGTGACGCTGGCATCCAAGCAAGACCGGGATAGGTTTGGACTGCAAGGAGAGCACTGGAGCAAGGTCGTACAGCTGGCCGACGGCGATCTGAAGGGCTGGATTCCAAAGAGCGTGATCAAGTTCATTGCCACCCAGGCCATGCCCGATCGCTGGCCAAGGTCAACAAGCAGCTCGCTGTCCTGCCACCGGTGCTCGACTCGCAGCTAACCCGTGGCATCACTGAACCAGCCAAGGCCAGCAACAGCGACAGTTCCACGCAAATTAGCAGCAAGGGCAATGCGCCGCCGGCTGTTGCTGTGTCGCATCGGAATGCGAGCGGTACTGTGGTCAAGAGCCGCAGAGGCGTGGTGGCATGGGTCAAGCTGATCCTGCGGTATGCTGGGCCGGCGATTATTGCGTCGATCACGTCGCTGGTTTTCAACATCCTGTGGAGCCGCCGCCGGAGGTAAATGTTCTTACATAGCATTTGTGACAGTATGGTAATAGACGCCATATCTCGTTATGACAATCCGCCGGACGGCCTATCTAGCTGACAAAGGCACGGGCTGCTTCTAGATCCTACCGCATTTTTCCAGAAGTCTCCACCAGTCTCGAGACAACTGTAGACTCATGCGCGGCCTGTGATTGGTGGACCATACTTGATTTGTCAAAAGTCCGCCAGTGTTCTTCGCGAGCCTCGAATTTGTCAGTCTCACGTCACCTGCGGCAGGGCGACGAGTCGGGCATATAAGTCCTTGGGCCTGGATGAGAGCCCAGATCTCCTAGCATCCCAAATTTGCTTTATTATTTCCAACAACCGCAACAACCCCTAGTGGCATACATAGCCAGCCTTTTACTTTTTTCGTTACGTTTTCGCACAAACATGCAGTTCTTCTTAGATGACTCCGGCACTCCCATCCGCCTTGTGCCCGCCGGTGCCCAGCGCCCGGCCCGGCGATTTGACGCTCCCCCGTCGCCGCCGATCCCGCCCTCGCGCGCCGTCCCCGGCTACCCGTACATCCGGCTGAGCAACGACGACGACCTGAGCGACAACTACCCCTTCGACGCCTTCCAGGACCTGCGCTCAGCCTTTGCCTCACCCTCCCTGCGCTCCATGCAGACCCGCATGGACTACGTGCTGCAGCAGCAAGCGCGCGCTCGTCTGCAGCGGCAACTGCTTGAACGCCAGATGCACGACCAGGAGATGCGCGAACGCGAATTGCGCGAGTACCAGTATAGGTTGGAGCTGGAGAGGAGGAAGCGTGCAAGAATTGCCGCGCAGCAGGCAAGGCAGGCGTATTTGGAGAGGCTGCAAGAGGAGGAAAAGCAGAGGCAGCTGGAGCAGCAGAAAAAGGCGGAATTGGCGGAGCGCAAGAAGCGCCAGACCAGCAAGTCTGATGGCGAAGGGGCTTTCTACCCGCCGTTCCACTTCTTCGACCATATTCTGGACAGCCAGCTAAAGTCGCATGATGACCTTGCGCGCAGACGTGCGCAGAAATCGGCTCTAGCTGATCTCCTGAACGCATATTTCGGTATCGAGTCTAAAGAGGAGCCAGTGGCTGCCAAGCCGCCTTCGCAGAGCCCTGATCCGCAGAAGCACGAATCGGCCGAGGATGTCCGCCCAGAGCCTACCACGGCTGATGTATCTCCCAACGACGCCAAGGGTGAAGAGGCTGAGCAGCCGTTCCCGCTCCTCAAGCCCGGCGAGACAAACCCTGCCGTGCTCGACAGCGTGCTGCGCGTTGTCCATGACCGGCTGGGCGAGATCGCTGCAGATGAGGCAAAATCAACCGACGATGATATCAAGGTTGATGCCGTAGACGAGTCCAAAGCAGCAAAGCCCGACGACGGTGCAGTGCAGGTCGAGGAGCCCGTCGATTACAAGAAGCTGGCGTCAACTCTGCGCAACCGCGTCAACAACCTCGAGGACGACGACATCTTCGTGCCCATCAGCCCGCTGCTCGGATTCAGCGACGATGTATCGGACGTTGGCGGGCCGGTAGCAGAAGAGGAGCCCGCAAAAGCCAGCCGAAAAGAGAGCTAAGGAGGCCCCCCATGTTGTCGAGCCCAAGAAGCGGCAGAGCCCAGAGCCCATGCAGGTCGACGGGGATGAACCCTCTGACAGCGAGTTCTCGCGCATGCTCGATAACTGCAAGCGCCAGTTGTGCGACTTGCAGGAGGCTACAGCCAAACCTGACTGCGAGGCCGCACGCCGCCGTCGCCGTCGCCGTCACCGTCGGCGCCACCACAAAGCACGCCAATCGAAGGATATTGCCGAGCCCATCGAGCCCGAGGAGGACAAGCAGCGGCGTGCTGTGCGCACAATTGAGGACTACATACTAGGTGAGCGCAGCAAGAGACAGGCACAGGAGGTGGTCGCGTCTCTGCGCGCACTTCGCGACATTGAGAAGGAGGTTGACAAGGCGCGCATCGACTACAACCGCCGCCTGCATAACACGCAGCTGTCGTTTGTGGCCGACAAGGACGGCAGCCTGAAATTGGCGCACAACAAGACCAACTTTGTCTTCCACGAGTATCAGGAGGTGCTGGAGCGCCAGCTGCTGAAGCTTGATGAGGTGCCGAGCTTTGGTGATGAGACTGTAAGGCATAAGCGCAAGGCCATTGTGCGCAAAATCCAGGCTATTCTGGATGCCCTGGACCAGTTTGCTCTGGACCAGGAGTCGGAGCTCAGCGAGGCTGGCACCATGGCTGATATGTCGAGCAACAGCGATTTCTAAAACATTCGCGCATTATTTCTCCTTAATTTTGAAACTAGACTTACAGTGCTCGCGATGCCAGCTCGGCTAGTCAGTAAGGTTTAGACAGTCGATAATGTGACAGGAGAACCTTACTGACTGGCTGAGCTTGCAACGCGAGTGCCACACGCTTAGTATTGTCAAACAAGTATTGATCAGTACTCAATCTGCTACACATTGGGGATATTGAAAATGTAGAAATTTTGGTATATTGAGGATGAAAGGAAAACAGTACAGGAGACTGGTCTAAATTGAAAGAGGCTTTGCTGTTTAGTAGTGAGGAGCGTTAGCCTGGTAGGCAGGGGCTGGGGCAGGGTGCTGCTCGTAGTTGGGCTTCTCCTCATGGTGCTCTTCAGGCTTCTCCTCATGGTGCTCCTCGGGCTTGTTCCCAGGAGCCGGAGCCGGAGCTGGAGCCGGGGCAGGGTGCTGCTCGTAGTTGGGCTTCTCCTCATGGTGCTCCTCATGGTGCTCCTCAGGCTTGTTTCCAGGAGCCGGACCTGGCGCAGGATGCTGCTCGTAGTTGGGCTTCTCCTCATGGTGCTCTTCCGGCTTCTCCTCGTGGTGCTCCTCATGATGCTCCTCGGGTTTGTTCTCATGATGCTCCTCAGGCTTGTTTCCAGGGGCGGGTGCAGGAGCCGGAGCCGGAGCCGGAGCAGGCTTAGCCTCATATGCGGGGACAGGGGCAGGGGGAGCGCACTTGGCATTCCCCTCATGCTCAGGCTTGTTCTCAGGGGCGGGAGCAGGAGCAGGAGCAGGGTGCTGCTCGTAGTTGGGCTTCTCCTCGTGGTGCTCTTCCGGCTTGTTTCCAGGCGCAGGGGCAGGCGCAGGGGCCGGATGAACCTCATAGGCAGGCTTCTCCTCATGATGCTCCTCAGGCTTGTGCTCAGGAGCCGGAGCCGGAGCCGGGGCTGGAGCGGGGGCAGGAGCCGGGGCTGGGCCGGATGCTGCTCATAGTTGGGCTTCTCCTCGTGATGCTCCTCAGGCTTGTGCTCAGGAGCTGGAGCTGGAGCCGGAGCCGGAGCTGGAGCGGGCGCAGGAGCCGGATGAGCCTCATAGGCAGGCTTCTCCTCATGGTGCTCCTCAGGCTTGTTCTCGGGAACCGGAACCGGAGCCGGAGCTGGAGCTGGAGCTGGAGCGGGGGCAGGAGCAGGAGCAGGAGCCGGGGCTGGGGCTGGATGCTGCTCGTAGTTGGGCTTCTCCTCGTGATGCTCCTCAGGCTTGTTCTCCGGGATGTGCTCAGGTGCAGGCGCAGGCACCGGCTTCGCTTCATATCCCTGCGGGTGCTCCGCATACGGCTTGTTCTCCGGCTGCTCATGGTAGGGGGCCGGCACTGCCTGATAGGCAGCTGGCACTGGCGCAACGCTCTGGATAGGCGCGACGGCATGGAAGATAGGCGCCGGGCGGGCCTCGTAATAGGAACCCTCAACCGAGGCAAGGGCGACAAGAGCAATAAGTGCTGCGGTAGTCTTCATCGTAAATAATTTGCTATCGTCAACGATTGAAAGAAGGGGAAATGCTTGTGTCGGGGGATGTGAAGGAGATGTTGTCGTTAAAAGACTATGTGGGATGTTGATGCCAGGCAGTTCGAGCTCGTTATATAGCTGGTGTTGGAGGTGTGCTGGTGTGTTTTCTGTTTTGTTGCGCGAGGAGGTTGTCTTTTCTTTGCACCATGGCCCTATGTTTTTCTTGTATACTGAAAGCAACATTTTTGGGCGCATCATACAATGTAACAAATTTGGGCAAAAAGGACAATATGTATTAAAGCCTCGCAAGGTTTTCGGGACACACACAGCCATTTGAAACTTTGCCGTTTCATTGTCGATGTGGAAATCGTACAATTGCAGCCCGTTTATGAAAACAGAAAAACAAACCAGCCAAGTGAGAGTGGCCCAAACGTGCTTCACAGTGAGACACTTGCCATGGTCCACTCTACGAAAAAAAACGGCGGTCCCTATATTCAGTGAGGAAAAATGAACAGTAACATGAGAATTGCTCAGCTTGCTATATCCGTCCCCTGATACACACTATATCACCAAATGTAAGGAATCTGGCACCTGTTTTGCTCGCTCCCTCTCCTGATGGTCTAGCAGACAGGGAGTGCTCCCACGGCTTCCCGAACGAACAATTAGGTACTAGCCCAGGTGCTATTTATAGAGAACAGCGCAACTGACGTGATTAGCATCAAATTTAGCCTGCAGGCAAGAAATTGCATATCAGAAAAATGGTGAAAGGCATTATTGCTGAGGGCTTCACAGAGCAATAACAAGCATGCGGGTCTGAGCCACATGCACAAAACCCAGTGCCAGGAAACCAAAAAGCACTGAGAAAACAGGTTACCGCCACAGTATGATGAAAGTAGGCGTCAGTTGCATGTACGTAATTACAAGCAGATTTAATAAAGATCATGCACAGGAAAAATCGCAGCATGAGAATACAGAGCCAAGACCAGACGTTATCTCTGCCCGTAAACCCAGCCACCAATGTTTCCAGTTCACGCTGCACACCAAAAAACCGCCTGTTGCCAAGTCCTTTTCCCATTAATCATCACCAGCTCCAGGCACTTTTGTTCTTCATTCCCCTGTCCTTTTGTCAGTTAGTTGCGACCTTAAAAATCGATATAGTTTCGGCAACCATCCCCCTCGTTGGTTTCGGCCTCAGCAAGCCCGGACTGCTGAAGCTACCATTGCCAGGCAGGGAGCCCCCTGATGCATGCACATAGCCAGCAAGCGATACGAATCTTGTCTGGTCATTTTCGCGGCAGCACATGGAACACATGAGTGGTGTGTCAAATTATGCTGCATATGTGGCCGTTGTTGTATTCTTGGGGATGTATACCTTGTATTCAACACAGTTGCATTCTGTACACAGCATTATTACATTGATTTTATTGAGTTTTTTTATTTATATCATATGTGGATACTAGAGTAACTACGGTGCCTATAGCTATAAGATTTCGCGTAGCATAGCTTTGTCAACTGTTATGTACTTTGCCCTACCCAAACATGTGGGGGCTGCGTTGTACATTGATGCATCTAGCTCGCTAAGGCACCATTTCGGTCTGATGATATGCCATGTGTGTGATACTCGTGATGTACGAACGAAATGGGCCACTCTGAACAGTGTATATGCACCACTAGCATGGCACATATGTAATGTCATCAAACTGGTCCGGCACCATCGTAAACTAGGCGCGCCAGAATATTATGTAGGGCCCGTATGTTTGGATGCTGAAAGGTGCAATATCATAAATACAGCCTTCCTAATAACGTAAATTACATTCAAAGAGAGCCTCTTGTTAACAAATCCCTAAAAAGAGGAGCTAAAGAACCATGATGACGACTCCACTGCCACTGCCGCCGATGCGACCATTCAGCCGATGGGCGAGTAGTTCAATTTTTCGCGGGACGCTAGGTTTTCTGCGATCGATCGTGTCTACGCTTACTTTTATTCACAATGTGCAGATTTTACCAAGGAATACCTTGTTTCCTAACTACCGTTTCCTACGCTTCACCAGTGTATCCAAAAATGCCGCACTGCGCTTCTGCTTCTTCTTGGGCATCTGCTTTGGCGTACTATCACTCGGCTTCGCTACAATACTTGACCGACTTTCCTCCTCCTCCTCCTCCTCCACAACCTTTTTGGGCTCATTTGGTTTTTCGCTAACCAGACCTTTGGTTAGTTTGCGCTTGAGCTTGAGTTCCTCGGCAGACAGAATGCCGGTAGCGGACTGGGCGGCCAACATTTCCTTGTGCGAGAGGAATTTGGCGCCGACACCGAGGCGCGCTGGGCGGCCATGGAAGATTTCGCGGGCCTTGGGTGTGGCGTTGGAATCGGAGTCAGAGTCGGAGTCGCCGAGCCAGGAGCTGATCAAGGTGGAGGCGGAATTGGCAGATGCGCGCAGCTGTGCCTCGATCTCCTGGACCTGCTGCTGCTTCTCCTTGTCCTGCTTAGACTTGGCCATGGCGAAAAGAGTATGTGTGGTTTGGATACATGCAGAGTACGAAAGAGTACTTCCGGGATCACAAAGGAGCATCTCAAGTGGCATGGTGAGAAAGCGGGTAAAATTATGGTCAAATAGGATAATTACAAAATCAGCGGATCAGAATTTTCGCCAGGAGGTGAAGCGCCCTCCATGCAAACAAAGAGAGAAGCTGTTCTCCGAGAAAAAGACTCAATGCACTTTCCTGCGCTTATGACCAAAGCGCGTCGAAGCGCCCGAGTTTGGCGGCCACTCATTGCCACTGCCCTCCCAAATGTCCCTTGCAGCATTGCGCACCAGCACGCGGCAGGCACGGAATTCGCGCTGCATTTTCTCCAGCTCACCCAAGGCCTTCTTGATTTCATCCATGACCTCGCGGGACTGTGTGTCGTCAGCCAGTACCGGCAGGTCAACGGGTACAGGGCTCGGGCGACGCATCTGGCGCTTGGTAGACAGCGGCGGGCGGCCGCGGCGGCCGGTACGCGCCGGCTTTGGGGTCTGCTCCGGTGTGGCCGGCGTGGCCGGCGTGGCCGGTGTGGCTGGAGTGGCCGGGGTTGAGGGCGATGGCTCCTTGGTTGGCGGAGTGGTGGGCATGAGCTGCGGCTCGCTCGAGCAGCTGCCGGTCGATACCAGCGTGACCGAGTCGGAGTCAGCGTGCGGCGATGATGGCGGGGTCTTGGCTGGCGATAAAGCGAATGGCAGCTGGAGGGTTTCGGTGCCTGTTTGCCAGAGCTTCCACTTGAATTTGCTATGCACGTGGCCGGTCTTCAGATACGACAGGGCGCTTTTGATTGCCCGGTCCTTCAGGAACGCTGGCGTCGTCGAGGCAAATTCGGTGAACGGCGCCTGGGCGGTATCGAAGACCCGCAGCTCCTGCTCACGAACTGTGGAACTACATGTTTTTTTGGGTTTAGAAAGGTATGCGAAATCGCGCATGGAAAAAAACAGTGCATAATCACTTTTTGCAAATAGGGAGGGTGGGTAAGTAACACCTAGAAGTCGGGGCACGATCCACCCCTCCCGGGGATTGGTCTGACGAATGAACGGGGGAAAGCTCTGGGCTTCCTAACCACCACCAGCCTAGCTTTTAGCAAAAATTGCTCCTGGACAGCTTGAGAGAAAAAGCGCATTTGTTCTTACTATTTGTTGTCTTCAAAGTACTTGACCAGGTATTCGGCGGCACTCAGGGATAGGCAGCCCATGCTTGCGTCAATTTCGTCTGTGGGAACGATCTATAATGGATTGTTGGTTGAGGGGGTATGTGACCAGGAAGGGGAGATATGCTGAGTGCTAATGCACAGATGTAACAAGGGGAGGGCGATAGTCATCAACCCGGGGAGGGTATCTGCCAAACTTACCATTGCCGGCCACCAGTACTTGGCAGTGTTGTCCAGCGGGTCCACGAAGACCACGTCGCGGCCGCGCCATTTGAGAGACTGTACGGGCTCTGGCATGCCAACCATTACGTGAGATTTTTGTGCAGAGTCGTTGATATGAAGGCGTGAATAAAAAATTGTGTTTCCAGAGAGCAGTTTTGTAGAAAAAATGGTATATAGAAAATAACGAGGGGAAAATGCTTCAGGGAAGGAAGAAGAGGAGAAACGGGTGGGGAGGCGTGTTGAGCGAGGCGGAGAACCTCTTCCTTTTTCTTAACGCATCAGTGTGACGTTTTTTTCAAACTGCTATTTTTTTCTCCAAGCTTTTCTGCCATGAGAACTGATAGAAACGGCGGGCCACAGTAGTTTACCATAGCAGGGACACTGGGACGATTCTAATGACAGCAGCCGGCGCTGATCACACACCTCCGGGAAAACCGCACCCACAAAAGCGCACAAGAGTCGGTCAGGAGCATAGCCCCTTTCTTTTCACGTTCCTTGAGCAATACACCCCACTCACAATTAATCCTGTTTCTTTTCCTCACGCAAATGGCATCAACCTACGGCGCAATCAGCAGCGGACAGCATGGTCCTGCAGGTCAAAGAGCTGACCAAGCGCAAAGACACCGGCCGACCACCTCTTCTACGACGTGACGTTCTCGCTCCACCCGGGCGACACGCTGGCGGTCCGCGGGCCCAGCGGCGTGGGCAAAAACCACACTCCTGCGGTGCCTGGCGCAGCTCACGCCCTATGACGCAGGCGTCTGCACATTAATGACACCCAAGCCGACGACTCCGCAGGACCTGGGGGTCCCGCAGTGGCGCGCCTCGGTCATGTATGTGCCGCAGCGCCCGGCGCAGCTGCCCGGCACGCCGCTGGAGTTCTTCGATCAGGTGACGGGGTTCCGCGCGCAGCAGGGCCGCGCCCACTATGATCCGGTGGAGATCGCCGAGGACTGGGGGGTTAGCGATGAGCTGTGGCACAAGAAATGGCCCGAGCTGTCGGGCGGCGAGCAACAGAGGGTTGCATTGGCTGTGGCGCTGGCCTGTGACCCCAAGGTGCTTTTGCTGGACGAGCCCACCAGTGCGCTGGACCCGGCCACGACCTTGATGGTTGAGCAGGCGTTGGCCGGCCGCACGTGCGTGTGGATCACCCACGACGACGCCCAGGAGAAGCGCATTGCTACAAAGTCGCTGACCATCCACGCCGATGCCACGTACTCCATAACCGAGCACTGAGGAAGACTGGCGAGAGGACAGAGCAGAAAAACCGACAGTTAGCTTCTCTTCGTCCAAGCTCCTTTTCACATCAATCTCATTATCACATGACTGAACGAGAGTTTAACGCACGGTTCGTCTCCGAGGACACTCTGTCGGAGGCCAAGAAAGAGCGGGAAGAGGCCTGGCGCCAAGCCTACAAAACCGAGCCCGTACCAGAGCCTTCCTACGACCCGCGCACGCTTTACGAGCGCCTGCAGGAACAGAAGCGCAAAAAAGAAGACGAGTTTATGGAATCCCACCGCCTTAGCAAGCAGATCAGGCTTTTGGACCAGGACGAGACCGAGTTCCTCGAAGCCATCGACGACCAGGAGCACGAGAAAAACATGGCCAAACGCCGCAGAGACATGCTGGAAGCCGCTGAATTCCAGCGCATGGTCGCTGAGAAACGCACCAAGGATGTGCCAAAGAAATCCACAGCGAAGCGGCCTGTGGCCAAGTCGCTTGTGAGCAGAATTGCCGTGGTTGTCAAGGAAGTCAAGGCAGAGCCCAAAAACCCAGACCAGAGCCAAAAGTTGTTCCCAAAGAGCCCAGTGGCCAGGAAAACCCGCTGAGTGTGCTAGCCTCATATCCGAGCGACAGTGAAACTGAATCGAAGAGTGATCAGTAGTGTTAATGTTCTCTTTTTCTCATCTCAGCAGTGATACACACTCGTGACCAGCAAAGATCTACGATGGAAGAGAAAACTCGAAAAAAAAAAAAAAGTTATTTATACGCCTTTCTTCACGGAGCAGTATTGCCCAGTCCCTCCATGCCTGACGAAAGCACAGACAAAGCTTGCTTTCTTCTCATTTTCGTTCTATAATTCATAGCTCAGCATGCCGAGCGCGATACTTTTCCAGCAGCTTTTCATCGATATGCTAGTGGCCGAGCTGCTAACGCCAGCACGTCTGGGAGCACCTGCACCGACGCAACCCAGCCGCTGCGCTCCCTACAGCCTTTCGCTGGCGTCTGCCGCACATGGGCGCGCGCGCTCCCACCACCTGCACAAGACGCTCTCTATAAGCATCCGCAAGCCGACATCTTTGCAGCGCTCGCAGCACCTCTTCCATGTGGCCAGCACTGCGCCTGGTCATCTACGGGGTGTTACCGGCGCGGCACGTGCAAGGGCGTACCAACCTGCATCTCGTAAAGCACCGCACACGATGTGGCTGGAGATTGACGCGATGTCGGCCCAACAATGGCCATGCGTGTACTTCAGGAGATTGGGTTCCAAGGCCGCATGTGGGAGGTGGAACACTGAAGTGCTATGTGCATCACTCAGTGGGTGGCCAGTATACGTGGAGCCGCAATCAGACGAGCCGCGCCGAGCAGTTGTTTGAAACCGTGAAAAGGCAGCTGCCGGAGCCCAGCGAGTCGAATATCAGTCGGCAGGTCCAAATAGCGACATCTTCCCGATCTACAACGGCTTCCGCAAGGTAATGATGGAACCGGCACTGACGGCGCTGACATTGGATATCAACGGGCGATTGCATGACTTTGCAATGCTGCCCCTTACGACCGCCGCAACGCTCAGGTCGTTGGTCCTGAATAACATCACCCTGAGTGGTTTCCTGAATGCATTTGTGGAGACCACGCACGCGCACCGTCGGACGCGCACACTGCCAGTGGCGGTATTTGCAGAGCTGAGTGCCTGGATATCCACTTGATTCATGTAAGCAGCCCAGGTGGACCAGCACTGCAGAGACTCGACAGGCTGCTGCGGTTCCCGAAGCTCCAAAAACTCTCCTCGACCCGGCCATTGGTCGGGCCGTATCGCTTTTGCCGGCCTTCCACGCGTCGCCTCTGCATACTCTGAGGTTACTCAACACCGACGCGTCGCTCTTGCCATTCGACCAGCGCGATTTCCCCAGGCTCTGCTCTCTGGATGTCGCCCTGCGGTACCTGCCGAGTCATGAATTGCACACGCTGGAAGGTTTGCCGCAGGCGCTTCTCGCGCATTCGAATCTGCGGTATTTGAGGTTTTCCTGCTGACATTGATTTCAAGTACCCCAACTGTTCGCTGCATGTTTCTGGAGCACTGAGCTCAGCGCGACAGTCGCGTCTGATGCAGCCACGGAAATTGTTCGGCCAGCTGCCATTCTTGAAGACATTGGCGTACCAGATAGATGCTGGCCGCAGCAGCCGGCGGCTAGCCCGGCGGGAGGTAGTTGAAATGGTTGCAGGGGGGCTTGGGAGTACGCCATTGAATATGCGGCTGCAAAGCTGGGCGTGGTGGCAGTGTGCTATGCGAGGATGTGCCTGCACGTGCTTTGCGGAGGCGGCGGAGGTGCTAAGATTGGCAGCGCGCGTGCCATCGCTGTTGTGCTTGGAGATGGGCCATGGGCGCGTGTTCGTCGCTAAAGGTCCTGCGGGATGCGCTCGGCGATCCAGTGCTGCGCGCCCGCTGGGCATTTGCAGCATCTAGAGATCAAGAGCATCTGTGTGTATAAGGGCTGGCAACCATTATTCTCTGGAATATACTTTTTCCTATCACGGTGATGACATCACGCTCTCTATTGTAACCTTTTTGCTGGAGTTTTCAGCCTATTCAAAAAGTGAGTGGATAAGGGGCGGGTTCCGCGCCACTGCTTGCTTTTTCCTTAGTGCGTATTAAGACCCATTGAAAAAACAGGCCGATCGCACGCCTCGCGTTTCTTATCTCCTGTTATCATTTTCCTTCACTCTTTCTCTCGTTAACAGCCATTCATACACTAGTGAGAATGTCCCTGTCGCCCTCCGGATCCCGCAAGGTCATTGATCCCGACACGTACTTTGACCAGAACTCGCCGCCATCGAACCTGGAGTGGGCGCACTCTGCGGTGAGTGCGTTTGTCAGCAGCCAGCCGCCTCACCAGCCGATCGTGCTAGTGACGAGCGGCGGCACGACCGTGCCCCTGGAGAACAACACAGTGCGGTTCGTAGACAACTTCAGCCTGGGTACGCGCGGCAGCAGCTCGGCTGAGCAATTTCTGGCGGCCGGCTACGCGGTGATATTCCTGTACCGCGACAAGTCGCTGCAGCCGTTCCACCGGCACTACCCGCGTGGGCTTTTGTCCTACCTGGAGCCCGACGGCACCGGCAACGTGCAGATCCAGGCAAAGTACCGGGATTCGGTAATCCGCGACCTGCATTTACTGCAAAAGTACTCTGGCACCAAGCTGCTGATGGTAGATTTCACGACGCTGTCGGACTATTTGTTTCTGCTGCGCGCAATCTCGCAGATTCTGGCTCCGCTGGGCTCGGCGGCGATGTTTTATTTGGCGGCGGCAGTCAGCGATTTCTTCATTCCGTCGCACAGTATGTCGGAGCACAAGATTCAGTCGCGCGACGGCGACCTGACCCTGCGGATGAACCAGGTGCCCAAGTTCCTGGCACCGCTGGTCAGCACCTGGGCGCCCCGGTGCTTCACGGTGTCGTTCAAGCTGGAGACCGACCCCGAGCTGCTTGTGCCCAAGGCGCAATATGCACTCAACAAGTACGGCCACCAGATTGTCATTGCCAATATGCTACATTCGCGCAAGTGGCAGGTGTGGTTTATCACCAGGGAGTCGGACCAGCCGTATGAGACCACATCCCCAAGGAAGAGGCCGAAAAGGGCCGCGACATCGAGCAGGACGTGGTGGTGGAGCTGGCGAAGCGGCATCGCGTCTTTATGGCAGCTTGATTTCAATATGGGCTGTTACCAAGATCAAGTTTGTTGTTAATAAATCACCCCTGTTCCTTTTCTTCTCCAGCCAAAACCATTGCTCTTCAAAGAGGCTGTTCCTGATGCTACTGCCAGCAGGGCGCAGGTTCCGCAAAAACAAAAAAGCAAAGATGGTGGAAAAATAACAGTAGCACGCTCGACATTCCATTCAAAACTCGAGCTGCTCTCTTGGTAGCCTATTTCCAAGAGAATGTGTCTCTGCGGCTTCTCTTGGCAACTCACCAGATATGCTAGCCATCCGGGGGATCAGCGAGAATGTTTTATTTGGTAGCTTTTTGCTGGATAGCAAGCAGCCCAGCCCTACTGCGGCATCGTCGTACTATTTTCCCAGCAAAAAAGCCCGTGTCTACTAAAGTGCGCGCTGAAACTTTCTTGTCGCAGCCTAAAAATACATGTTTCTCCACATACACACTGCGCCAGGGACGGGCCGCAGATGGAGTTTCTGGATGGTATTTCCAGCACATTTGGCCCAGTGCCCGATCCTGTTTTTAGCGTACATCTCTCCCCCGCACACATGGGGGAGGCACGTATGTTTTTTCTCCAGAGCACTCATATTTAGCATCAAGACATTTTCAATACGGGGCTTTGCAGGTGGTGACATTCCCTCGCATTTGCTTCATATACTTTGGCTTACTCCCGCGGTGCACTCTTCAAAAACCTATTTCGACTTTGTCACTTCAATTTTTTTCCTCCTTGAGCATCCACTAGCATTCTCTTTCCAATTTTGTTGTTCCTGTATTGCAAGGGGTGGACGATACTTCCTTTAGACTACACCCTGACCAAATTTCATTCTCTGGAGCTTTTTTTGATCACACGCGTCTCACAAAGAAACTAGAACCATTTCATTAACGGGTAATTGAATCCGTGAGCTTTCAACAAAACAAGCATCCTTTCTTTGCTAAGGCAAAAATGACACGCACTAGCATCTCTGCTCTAGCTGTTGCGTGGTTCCTGGCGGCAAGCCAGGTCAACGCTGGGCCAATTGCCCCTCCTGGTAAGTGGACATTTTCAGTTACACCTGCAAGCAACATCCCATGATGCATCTAAAATACATGTGTTTTTCTAGTCGATACCAACCCGACAAACAGCGAGCTTGCCAGTCTTGGCGGCCTCCTGCAGGCACTCGGTGCTGGAGTCATCGGCAACGGAGCCTTGATATACCCGACAGGCCCGTCTTCGCACCAGCGTGCAGAGGCTGAGGTCATGGCGTCGGACTCAGCCACGCGCATCTTCAAGAAAGTCAAGTCGGCCATCAAGGACGGCGGGCTGAACGACGAGGACGGGGGCGACGGCGACGACAACCACAAGTCGCTGACGTACCTGGTGAAGCCAGCCTTGATTTCCACCGCGAGGAGATCCCGCCACCGAACCCACTAGCCGGCAACGTGATGCCATTACCGGGCGGCGCACTGTTGTATACACCGACGCCAACGGCCTCGGGAGCAGCAGCGACTGGCGCACTGGCGAATATCAAGGCGGCGTACGGGAATCTGTTTGCGGCGTCGCCGTACACTCCCTCGTATACGCTGAACCAGCCGCACGCGGCGGTGATCGTCGAGGAGATCACGGATATGCTGAGTTTGAAGAGCTCGCTGCAGCGCTCGAGGATGAAGGCGAGGATGT